ATCGTTGATACACCGATATCGATTGAATCGATGACACCCCTAATGGACTCCCAACCCTGAAAAAGTTGGAGTCCAAAAGCGCGTCACAATTAATATGTTTACAGATTAATTAGTCATTCAATGTTCACAATAGCATTGCTGATATTTTGAATGTTCAAGAGACTTCCAAAGTATATAGTTATTCAAAAGAAACTCTGAACTACATAGTATAATTATTGTTTTGTTGTTAATATTTATTATGAAATTATTTCATTATAATGCATCAACCCATGGAAATCTTTTCTTTTTTTTTTCACTTTTATACCAAATCAAATTTTTCTCTGGTTAAATAAGTCCTTTCTTAAGACAAAAAGTTTGTATTTGTTAAAAAAAAAAAACGTAAATGTATATAGGCAGCGTTTAGCGGAAGAGATTCATCCGATCGACGATTATTTTAGCAAATATCTTCAAAAGGGGGCAAATTAAAGATCGACATTTAAAGATTTAATGTTGATTAAATAATAAAGAAACAATTCATTCGCATGTTTGGCTTGGTAACCGAGAATTTTTGCGAAATTTTAGGGTTTCTGGCGAACGTGAAATCGCCGATGTTCGGGATCAATTTTCGGATAGAGAAAAGCGTATGTGTACCTGGCATTTCGGCACAATATCTTAAATTCTTAATACTCTTATAGAAAGTTTTTGCAAGAATGAAACTAAAGCAAAATTGTGCCTAGAAAATGCCGAAAATATTCGACAATCATTATAATGCCGAAAATATTCTACAATCATTCAAAATTACACTCAATTGTAATTTGAGAAAATAGTCTTTAAACTTGCAGCGTAAATAGTCGATAATTTTATCCTTTTGTCGGTAAAATTTGCTAATTTCCAATCAACTGTTGATCAAAGATATAAAATTATCACCTCGTGAAATATCTGGTAATTACATGTACTGTACAGGGCGTGTATACATTAGTCTGATCACTATTGCGTGATAATGATCGGAAGCGTTATCGCTGATTGGCTAATTGCTTCACGGGTCGATGTGCATAGGACCGCCTACCTATAGACTGACACGCGCTGACGCATTTGTGTATTTGTGGTTGTAAACAATCGGGAATGTTTATGCGTCCCCGGGCAAAATTAAGCGTACGTGGAATCCTTGCTCTGAAATATTTGCGTCCAGCTGCAATAAACATGCGTACCGGGACGCCGAAATAAGCGTCCCCGAGAACACTGATGCTCTGTAAAGTCAGACTTCCAGAGTATACTGGAACTCAAATTTTAAGGATACACAGCAAAATTATCAGGGCTTTCATTTTCAAAATTTGGAAGTCAGACTTTAAAATCTCTAAAATGTTATAGGTAAAGAAGGAAAAGTATTAGATTTTGGAAGTCAATAGCCAAAATGGAGGAGTAAATGACTCCCCAGTGATTTTCCTACTTATATAACAGACTCCGAAAAAGGGCCTCTTCCCAATTGAAATTTTCTTTAAAATCATGCAGTTTTCCCAAAAATCTGAACTTAAACCAGCTTTTTTACTTCCCAAATCAGCAGTTTTAGCGATATTTTTTCCCAAAATCAAGAGGCTAAGGCTTCTTCCCAATTAAGTGAGAAAAATCACTGCTCCCAAACTTCCACTAGTGGAAGCCCTGAAATTATTTTATATTCTAGGAGTCAAAAAAATTTTCTTTCTTTATTTCTGTTGGCATGTACCTTATCATGTACTCCAGTTTGAACAATTATAGTTGAAATTAGAATTAAAGAAAAATAGACAATTTTTTTTTCTCTTTCCTTAAAAAAAAGCATTAAGAAAAAAAATTGTCCGTAACTGTTGACTGGGTCCTATGTTAACTCCTATGATGATAAGCTGGCACAAATTATCAATAATTTCATGGTTGATCTAAGAGAGTTATCTCCCTAAGTACTGCACTTCCTGTTACTTTCGTTTTTAACATGCGTTGTTGACAACAGAATTTTTAGTTTTCAAAGCAATAAAATGGAAATATATTGATTTTTATGCTCAAAACATCCTCTTTCTAAATATCAAATGTTTACACTTCTAATCTTTCACGCTGAAATTTTGTTATGCGTAACTTTGATGCACGGACTTTTAAAGTGATGCGTATTTTAGATTTTTTATGCGTATTTTACGTTGATATGCACTCTATCTGGAGCTCTGTTACCCCTTGGCCTAAAAAATTATCTGGAGCTCTGCAGTCAATCATTGACTTCCAAATTTTAAAACTTAAAGTGTAAACCCTGCAGGCAGGGTTTTTTTAGGAAAGGGGAAGACAAACGCTGGTAGGGAGGGGAAAAATTAAACAAAAAATGTAAATTTGGGGAAAATTAGAATATAAACAGAAAATCCTTTTATACATACTATATTCTAAACTACATTGTAAAGAGTCCCAACAAAATCTGTTTTTCCTTAAATACTTTATCATTGGCAAAGTATTATTACTTGCAATACAACATCTTAATATGCATGGTGGTGAATGATTTTTACACTTCCCTTTTTGTATGAAATTCCATACAGTAGAGCAGGGTTTTACGGGATGCAGAATTCTGCATCCCTATACGCATAAATTTTGACATGTACGCATATAAGTTATTCACTTGCGTCCAAGTGTACGCACAAAAATAATTCTAGACAATAGATATTATTGCTTCTGACCCGACATGATTTTATCTCTTTCTTCTCCATGTTCTCAAAGCTCATAAAATTCCATTTAAACCTAATGCTTGCATTGTTTATATTCGGAAGTTAACGTAATTGAAATCTATTGCGCATGCTATTGCAAGTGCCCGCTGCAGAAATTGATGATGTTTATCGTGCAAGCTACAGCAACTGATGATGTTTACCGTAAAATCTATTTTTGGTAGCTGTTTTTGGTTTTTCTATTGCTATATTTAGACGGACTATTTTTAACAAGCAATAACTATTGGTTAGCGTATCCAATGTCGATCTACCATTTTGGCGATTGTATTTTGTACATGAACAGCGATAATAAAAAATGCAGTGCTTTTTGCAAAGTGTTATATGAAAAAGTGTTAGAAATTAAGTCACTGGGTATGTTATTATCGTTGGTGTTATAAATATAATGGTTTCGGCGAACTTGATTTATGACTGGGACATCAAGTATGTCCCAGCTTATGAGGAGGTGCAAAAGCGGTTTTGTCAGCCTTTTGTTTTATGATATTTTTAAAAACGCAAAATATTTAGCTGACTGGTCTGTAAAGATATCTATTGTGTGTTTACTTGTTCAGCTAAAATATTTACAAATAGATCAGTACAAATTTTCAGTCTGTTGGTGTAATCACCTTGTCAATAACAAAATATGCTACTAAAACTTGACATTCCAGCAACTCAAAGACTTATAAGCCTTGGAAATAGCACATGATATTATTGTAAAGGGCTACTAAAATGCTATAAAAAAACCTAGTGATAAAAGATATTGAAATCATATACTTCTTATGAAAACAGTACAATATACATTCATATTTCTTACAGGGTAAATAAACGATTTTAAGCAAAATAGAGTGGTCTTCATAGTCTTTTATAGTGAATATAATTTTGGACCCCTAAAATTCAGGCCTGGACCCCTACTTTTCTAGGCTGTGCATCCACTGGACCCCTAAAATTTCAAAGAGATGTAAAACCCTGAGTAGAGGTATAATAGTAATCTGTGAAACACTTTTCTAAAGATCTAAATTTTTACTGGTCCGAATGTACCGTGTTTTTTAAAGTTTTCGTGAAGACTGCATTAAGTGGAAGTTATGGGCTGTATAACTGAATCAAAATATGAAAACTAACAATCTCCATTTAAACATTGCAACACGGCCGCCAGACCAAAAATTATGGACAAATTCACTTATAAAGACAATCAATCAACAATTAAATTTAATGACAGAGTGCATATCACCTCACAGATCTTATTTCACTGTTGTTTAGGATGACTGTTGCATAATTTTGGAGGAGAACAACATGGTATTTTAGCAAAAGGAAGAAAAAATTTTTAGTTAAAAGATTTTTTCATTTGACAAAGAGAAGTCATTAGATGAGAACAAATATATCTTATACAGCCATAACCAATTATGTCTGTTTTATTTAGGTCAACAAGGAGAATTTCATTTTTTCTAATTCCTTTATGCAGACCATAACTGAATAACAATAATAAGTACATCTAGTTAATTATTACAACAAATCCACAAGTAACAAAGCAAACAGAGTAACTCAGAATATGCAGCTTTTTTTCCATAAATGTGACAGTCTTAATACACAGCCATTACTGAATAATGGCAGCAGACAAAAGCCTTTGTCTGTACATCAGAAATATCTGATACAACAAAATAAAAAATGCATGTAGACCTAATAATATATCATAATGTAAACATAAATAATCACAAACTATATCAAACAGCAAACAACAAAACCAAAACACAAATTGTATGAACTATCCTGCAAGTGCAACAACGAAAAAAAAAATTAACAACAACATGACCTACTTTCCACGACGTAACCCAATTGGCTTTGTTGGTGGCCAAGTTACTCAGAGGTGACTCAAATCAATTAATCATAGAGATCAGTGTGAATTATAGTTGAGACACAACGTGATAAACTAAAATGTACTCATCATAGGCGCCAAAACCCCCTAATTTATAAGGCGGGAACCCCTATTTTATTCATTTACGCGAGAAACCCCCATAGGTCACGTGATCACTTCGCATATCATGGTTATCGACTTTTGGCTCAACCTTGGCGTCATGTTTGAAATTACGTTTGAACTACACGTGGTTTTCACTAGCTACTACTGAATCATGTGCGAAAAAATATGCCAAAAGTAGCTTAATAACGTTATAAAGCCTTTGGACACATTCTTAAGCGAGTTCATGCATAAATTTGGCGTAAAATAAGCGATAAATGTTTCTGTTTCGGAACGTTGACACAGTTTTTACTTCGCAGCATCTTCGAGGGTGACATAGGGTCAAATTAAATAAATTTAAGCAAACTTACCATCGTCCGCATTTTCATCACCGTCGTCTTGATATAAGTCGATATCTGAAATAGAAATTAAATATCAGTTTCGGCACAAAATACGACAAAAACCGACGAAAATAAATAATGTGAGGTGGACTCACCCGCCATATTGGAAAAGGCCTCGTGGTATTAAAGAATATATTTCATTGGTCGGCGTTGATAAATTGCTTTGTTTTGATTGGTCGACCGCGTTTTTTCAACTCCGTAAATGACGGAAAGTTACGGAAATGACCGATCACTCAATTATTCACGCCTTTCATAAATCATTCCGCGATAAATTGACCTAGTTTTATAATTTAAAGAGGATATTGGAAATAATACTCGTTCTGCATTAAGATTTCATTGCAGTTTATATCTAAAATGTCTTTACATGTATTTTTACATAATTTTTCCAAGGAAATCTTTTGCATATGGTAGGAATCCACGCGGTTTACTGGACTGTGAGACGAATTTGTCATAGCGTGCCTTTTTGGTTGTAATTTGGTCAAATTGATGTTCTTACACATAGAAAATAAACCAATCGATACTGATATGAACAACAGTCAAAGCTAACAGATAATAATATTATTGTGGCTGATCGGTGGTTTTTGAGTTAATTTTACTTACAATTGAAAGTAAAATTATTATTTAACTTAATGATAGTGTACAGTCTACCGGGAAAGTAGAAAGAAGCCTGTTTTAAAAAATCAGGAGCGTAGCTAGCTGTAAAATGGGTCTTCTTAGTCTTACCATGTAAAAACTTTAAGACTTAGAGTTATACCCTGTTTACTGTAAGTACTAAAGTTTGAAATTAGAGATTACTATAAAAAAAGGCGGAAGAGCACCAGAATTTATAAACCAACAAACAGCTAGCTGCTTCAAACAGAATCTATCTCGGGTTTATAGATCTAGTATGCGGTTCCCATTCAGAGAATGTGGTTTAAACATATTTATTTATATAAGGTCGATTGCGAAACAAGTTCTTGCAACTCATATTAATCACTTTCCTTGACCCAACCAGTACTGGTGTCATATGAAGATACATGGTCGTGACCCGATAAGGGCTCGAACCCATAATCCCAGTGTTGAGAGAGAGACAACTTATAACCACTAGGCCCCCCTAGAGAGGAATTAAGAGGCAATGCAGGAATTTATCACTCGGAATGTGAATGAAATTAAAGAAATGTTAGATAAGAAATGATGGATGTTTGAAAAGGGTCTAGATCTACTGTAGAAATTATTATAATTATATACATGTGTGTAACACAGTGTATACATAGAGGATATTTTGTTTAGTTCAGTGTAAGATCGGTATATATTTCACCGAGTGAGCACCAAAAGGTATAATTCACGAGTGGCGCAGCCACGAGTGAAATGTGAACTTCTGGTGTTCACGAGGTGAAATAAATTCCGATCTTACATTAAACTAAACAAATTTTCTTTTTATTATATGTAAAGAAAAGTTTAAAAAGACATTTTATCCTAGTACTAAATGGAATTGGCGCCAAATAATAATACGCGGCGTCATTTAAAACGTCGCGTCATTAAGTTTGTTTCCAGTACTGGAATTTCACGGGCTCAAATATTCAAAACAGTGAAATTATCAAATTGATAATTTCACTGTTTAAAACAGTTACATAGAAAATCTAACGTCATTTTTCTTTTCTGTATTATTTTTAACTGTTCGTACTTACGTTCGTTATAATTTATCAAAAAATTAAAAAATTATCAAAATAATGAAAAATAAGTTCAAAAGCTAAAAAATATAAAACATAAAAATATTGATAAAAATGTGTGTGGTGGCAGAGATCTATGTACTGAAAAGGGGAGATCACTGCGTAGAAGATTGGCTTATTGAAAAGATTGATAAATGAAACTTCGCCCGCACCCCCGCTAATTAATTAACATGTTTTCGCTCCGCGCCTCGCCGTTTTATTTCTTAAACTTCGCGCCGCGCCCCCGCCTTTTTAACCTGTTAATTCTCGATTTTTCCCTTGGCATGGTCGCGGGGCGAAAACATGAATTACATACATCAGCCACCATAAGATTAACATTAATTATTAACAATTTATCATGTATTTAAAATATGTTTCACAGTGCACATTTTTACTAATATGATTTGTGAATTTGTTTGGTTTCGACCCGGCTTTTAATTAGTTTTGTTTTAAGTTATATATAGGGACTAACAAGCCTAAGTTGGCACATCATTTTATGTCCCAGGTACAAGTAATAAAATCTTTCCAAAACCTAAAGGAAAACATTTTCATTAAGACAAGTGTAGGCAGTACCTATATATAAGAAATTACGCCGGTGCATTATGATAAGAGAAACAGTGACCTAGTGGTTACTTATTAAGGCGACTGCCTCTCAACCAATCATGGGTTCGACCATGATTCCTCATATGAATCAGTACTTGTTAGTTCCAGGAAGCCGACTGGAAAGTGATTAGTGTAAGTTGAAAGAACCACGTGCGGTGAGTTTGATTTCGCCAGGGACTTTTATGCTATCAGCTAGCTAGCTTATCATAGGCCAGTGACGGTGCCCGCAGTGTAGTTTCTGAAATAATTCACAGAGAAAAGGTTTGAAAGTCACTTTTTTAACACAAAAAGTGTCCGTGTGACTTATTCACCCATCCCCTGTCCCAATTAAATAAAAACAACCAAAATCAACAACAACAAGAAGAACAACCAACTCACTTATAAATAAGTATTTTCCAGTAACGACGACAGTTTAAACATTACTGCGTGGACTCATGCTGGTATCTTACTTATCTTACTTCAGTCATATTATAGTTAATGGAAGTTCAATAATAAATTCTGACTCCCGGGTGTTAATTTAGTAAGATGGTACAAATTTATTATAAAACAACACAATTATTGAAAATAAAACGCTAAATAAGTGTGTTTTCGCTCCGCCCGCCCTTTTATTTCTTAAATTTCGAGATTTTAGAATTACCTTTGTTTCTTTATGTCAAGTTATGACTTTCTTTTTCAACATTTTTTCCGATTGCATGCTATCTTATATCGGGCAACAATTTCTCCATAATAGATAATAGTTAATAGTTTTTAATTCAAATTTTCCCAAACGGAAATGAAATAAGCTGTTAAACTGCGACATTGTACTACATGTAGGCCTATATAAAGCATTACATTCACTTTTACGTAAAATTTACAGAGGTTGTAGTGAATGAGTTTTGCGGGATGACAAAATTTTGATAGAAAAAAAATGTTGGAAAAAAATATTTTATTTACAATAACCTTTAATTGTTTTCTTTTGGTGCAAATATTAGGAATTTCGAATAGATGTGTTTTAAAAGTTGATGGACTTATTAGTGAAACTCCACAACAACTTTGTGATTTTAAATCTCCAGATATACCCACGGTAAGTTGCTCAGAATTTAATTAATAAGTTACACATATAACAATTGAATTTGTTTTAAAAATTTAATTTCTAGACTTCAACGTCAATGTGCATGCAAAACATGTTTATCTTTATATGTATATTTCATTATCCAAACTCAAACGCTTGTTATATGAATTGTGACTCAAATGGAACGGAAATAACTAAAATAGGCTGAATAAAAACAATTTTGTAGCCTCTTTCCTTGAAAGTTCAGTTCTTCTGTATTATTATATAAGGAACGACGTATGGTTGTAGCACAAGTGAGGATCGAACCTACGGCTTTTGGTTGAGTGACAGGGCATTGACCCCTTACACACTGTACTACAAGTGAGACAGTGTAATTAAAAGTTTTGTAGCATATTTTTTGAAAACGAAACAGATGTGTGTATGTATATTTCATAAACAAAAAGAACTTCCCGGACAACCCCCGGTGGTTGAACGGACATGTATAACAAGATAATATTGAGATTTTCAATTCATTTCTGAGTATATTTCTTAATTACCCTTCGGCTAAAGTCGAAGGGACCAGGGACTTTGGATACTAACATACTTCGAAACTATTTAGCTAGCGTATATGGATGGAGGGTTATTGTGCCGTTTAAGGTACATACCCGCTCTTACTTTCAATAAAATACACAGAGTTGTCTGTGACCTTCGTCACTCAGTACGAAAGCAGTATGACATTCACTAAAATTAACCTACAATAACTAAAGACAATAAATTCAAGTCCCGGGGCATTTGATGCGACAGGTATCTAAATACAAATCTTATAAATTGAATCAGTATCGAATCAAACCGTTAAAATCATTCATAATTACCTTTAAAAAGATACCGAAGTTAAACGTTATCAGTTTAAATATAAGCACTAAAAATTAATTTTATGTAAAGTTATTACATAATATTACAGTGTTCCGTCAGTGTCCGCGCGTTTTCTCTGAGAACTATAAAAGCGCGAAGCATGACAGTACGATGGTAACAGTGCGACAGTATGTTGCCCTGTCACCATCGTATACTGTCGTGGTTTGTCATCGTACTATCGAACTGTCATCATCGTACTGTCGCGCTACGCCCTTGTACTGTCGTACTGTCACCATCGTATTATCATTTTTTGCGCTTTTCTTTGTCAAAGAAAACGCGCTGGCCCTAACAGAACACCGCATATTTTGGTTTAAATACGCCCATAAAAGTAAATTAGTCAAATTATAGATTAAAAATCATATTACTTTGAAGCGACATGTCCCCGATCTCGAGACCTTTTGGTTGTTTCATCATCATCATCGTCATCATCATCAGCGTCATCATCATCATCATCATCATCATATTCATCATCATCATCATCATCATCATCATCAACAACAACAATAACAACAACAACAACATCATCATCATCAACAATAATAATAACAACAACAAAAGCAACAGCAACAACAGCGGCAACAACAATACATCATCATCATCGTCATCATCATCATCATCATCATCATCATCATCATCAACAGCAACAACAGCAGCAGCAGCAACAACAACAACAACAACAACAACATCATCATCATCATTAAACAAGATTTTTAATTATTTTACCTTCTTCAGTCATCATTTAAAATTTTTAAATAAACTTTTGAATAAAATATTTTTATTAAATATAAGGCCATGGTGATATAGGCCAAGGAACGACCTAATGCTTCGGGAAAAAAAAACAGTTCGATAATCATTGAATCAATAGTAATGTGGTAAATATCCGTGTTACCATTGAAATGATTTTACATTCCAATTTCTTTTTAAAACGTAACTATGGGAAATGTTTTCTCTTAACCAACCAGGACCACGATAATATATACACTTGTTAAACGGCAGTAATACACTGTATATACTTAAAATGACAGCGAAAAAGGCTGGATTAACAATAACTTGTTACCTTTTTGTTTTTGGGTGCATTATAGGAATTTCGGATAGATATAGATCTATATTCATTAATGAAGATGACGATAAAATAACAGATTATCTATCTGTTTTTAATTCTACAGACATGCATGAGGTAAATTATTATAATGTATCAGCTTCTGCAGTATAAATAATTGCTTTTAAACTTATAATGCGTTTTATTCAACAGCGTGTCTATGTGTTACAGGGTAGGAAAAATTTGCAGCCTGACCGGGCCTCGGAATATCGTTTCGTGGCTGTACCGACTTATCTCTTTGGCTACTTACACCCTCTCCCCTAAATAGTGAACAGTTCTAAACCGTAACAAATACTTTCATGAAGCCCAACCCAAACGCCAGTACTGTTAACATTTCGGGAGAAAAATACAAAATATGTAAACGGCCGGCTAGCTCATTCGCTTGAGTTTCGGAACTTACGAAAGTCACGGATTCGAATCCAGGTCAGACTTCCAAGCCCTTGTAACATAATTATAAGGAAGCACGGTTACTTAGATCAACTGGACATTTGACATATTTCTATCACAAATTTTTGAAATTTATAGACAATGTCATTTTCCATAGACTAAATGCATGTAGTATGTAAAATTACTAAAAAAGAATATGCCAATGAATTTACATCTTATAGTAATGGGGAAGTTTGAACGTAAATATTGTAGATAATATTTCATATACAATAAAGATAAAGAATAAACGCTTTGAATTCCCTTTGAATTTTAAGTATCAATGTATCAGTTATTTATGTATTATAATACAGTGTCCATACCACGTGACATGTTATTATTTGCATCGGACAGAAAACCATTTTAGGTTTTACTTTCTGTCGTAACTTTATCATGGGATAAGTTAGAAACCGATTCAAAGAATTTTTCCTGGATTTTCTTTCCGAAAAGTGACACCTCGCAAATATGCGTTTCTTCAAACACGCGGATTCACTTTTGGTAAATAATACTGATTATTCCACTAACAATTTTATGTTAGTGTTATACATACTAGAATGAGAGGGTCCTATGAACCTTTGTGCGGACGTGATACTTCATATATCCGAACTATTCATAATGTTAAAAGCAAAGTCCGCACATTGTTCCCTGATTATCATAATGAACTAAGAAAAAACGTTTCATCTTCTAATGAGGTCATACCAGTCTATGTACATAACCTACATTCTGGTGTATCAGCGGCAAATATACGATGGAAGGAAGTTACGAAAGACGCATTGGTCATGTATCAACACATGGCAGTTTATTGACAAACCGACAAGAATAGATGTGTTACACGACAGACGCAGATATCATGTATTAACCCATCGACCCGGCTGTTCAAGTACGCGAAAGACCGAGTTACCATCTACCTTACATACACTTTGGTTCTTCACTGACTAATCCACGAAATAGGAAGTGTTATACAAAAATGACAAAGATATTCTGACGATAGTTTTCTTTTTGTTTTCTTTTTGATATTGTTACAGATTTCTGACACATAAAACAAACCTTCAAATGACAAATATCATCATAATAAAACAATGTGGTGATAAATGAAACTATAAACAAGTATGATCAAAGTTGACAAATGTATTGTGTTAAGACCAGACATTGATCTTTTCACTGATACACATTTGAAATGGTGATCGAAATATCGCAATCGGTTGCTTAATACAAATATTGCTATCGTATTCATGCATGCATGTTCTCCTCCCTTCTCCTAAAATTCAATTTATTGGAAGAATGGATATTTTTAACTTGTTCAAAAATCGGACTGTTTCTTTGACGGTATTAAGACTAAGGGGTTTTACACTTTTTTATTCATTTTCCAATAAGAATGTGAATAGAATAACAATTCATGTGACACAAAATGATTTGGATCATTTATAAATAAAAATACCCTTTTAAAAGATTTAAAGATCCTGTATGTTGTGATCATAATTAAGCATATAAAACAATTTTCAAACATCGAAGAATATGTTCTGCAAATATTTGTGCATATTATATGTAATCGCTAAACTATATGCATTCATTTCTTATTGTACAATTTTACTTGTTTAATAAACTTTATAGAAACTAAATTGTTTATCACCTCCCTTTATTTACATGAAATGTTAAATTCGGCAATAACTTTATAATAATGCATTTTGAAACCTACGAGGACCTTGATGATGTCTTGTATCGAGCATTTGTGTATACGATTTCCTAGTCGAACCGTAAATTATAGAACCATAATCTAATTTTAATCTGAAAAAGACTTCTATATAATTTCAATAAAGTAAAGGAATTTGACTCTTAGTCCGTACTAGACAAAACCTGCATTTTGATTTTTTTTACATTTGTAATAAAGGAGAGTTGTTGTGATTTTTTTTTATCAAATATATCTTCAAGAAATTTTGCTTCATCAGTAAAAGGAATTTTGGAACCGAATATGTTCCGGGCCATAATGATATTACCGTCACCCACATGAATGAACACATGGAGCTTTAAATTTGACTTTGAAAAATGTAAACCACTTTCTGTTGCCATTTTAATGAAGCAAACGATTGTTTGCATTCTTTTTGACCGATAGCTTATTGAGAAAATCGCCTACAAATAATAAGCAAACTACACAAGAATTAATAACTTTTGTTATATTGATAATATTCATGTGTAAAGTACCCTCAGGCACAATTGAGTGAAAGTGAGTATCAGAAAAGTTATATTGAACACCACTTTGTCCATCTAGTATAATACGCTTGGTTAATTTAACAATTTTACCCTTTTTCCAGATAGTTGATAGTAAAGCAGATAATGCATTTGCAAAATGGATTCAAATGGGTGCAGCAGATCCTATGCCAGTTGACACAGAAAATGAAAGTGATTCACATGATCCACGGCAAAATGCAGGCAAAAATGTATGAACTAAGATTTAATTATCGAATATTTGATCACAATATATGCATAAAAACAATTTACCGATACATGATTTTTTTATCGATCCCTATGTATTGTGTTGGGTTCCATTTCAAGAACAAAGCTAGAACAAAGGTAAAAAAATCGGCACATCTCTTTTCATAGACAACCCATCTTTCACTACGAAGGCTATGTCCATGTATCACTGTTCAAACATTTTTGATAATTTGTTTAGTCCATATAGTAGCGAAATTGAAGTCACACAACACAAAAGGAAAAAAAGCAAAAGAGCAAAAAAAAACAAAAAAAAAACAAAACAAAACAAAAAAAACATGACGGTAAAATTATACTACTAGTATATTATAAATGATTTGTACAATGGCTTCGAAGGCTTGTTTTTGAATTATCCTGGTAAAACATACATGTTTATCTTAAAATATTTTTGATTACTTCTTGAACTATTTGAGAAATCGATTATATTATATTAAGATTTAAGGTTCGATCGATCTTTTTTGTTTCAGTATGATGAAAGTTTGAACTATTTTGGTTTGCATGTTGAAGATGCCTGGAAAAAGGGTTACAACGGTAGTGGTATTACAATTGCTGTTACGGACATAGGAGTTTCTGCTGACATCGTTGACCTCAGAAAAAATCTGGTAAATCAAATGTTGCTTTTGATTGATAGTTTTCAGCCGTTCTCTAAAAATGTCATTAAGTTGTGTTTTCTATTGAGATTGTTTAGCTTAAAACCCTTTTTTATATTTTAAAATTCTTAGCCTCCATGTAACCAGTGCTGACCAAGTTCAGACAGTACATTCCTTCCGTCTTATCATATGACTTTTTGTCTTTCATTCAGTACTACGATCCCCCTTTAATGATGAATTGTTTTGTTCAGATCGAAAGGTGGCAACGTCCATTTAAAAAAAAATTTAGAATGGTAATGGTAAAGTCATTATTGTCGGTTTCTGAAACGTGAATAGTGAAAACTCAAGTAAGATGAATATTGCAAGATAGTTAAAAGTTTAAATTTCAAACTACATTTGCAGCTGAAAAAAGCACAGCATTTTGTTCCAATTTCACAATAGTTTTTATTCTTCGTTACAATAAAACCTTGTATCATTAAGGATATGGGTTTTCAAATTTTAACACAAATACGTTTTTTTAACAGAATATGGATTTGGCTTATAACTTCATAGACAAAACAACAGACGTGTCTCCAGAAGACATCGACAATAACTATAAGGCAGAGTCAATGCGTTATATTGAGTAAGTAAATCAAGATAGTCTTTAAACAAAGTTAAACTTCACTTTGTTTCCAGATGTTTATACTTCACAACAGCAGGTGTCAAGTGCTATGTGGCAGCTGTAAAAAATTGCCCCGTACTTCACTTCAGTGTTGTTATATTTTTTCTGGTTCTTCGGGATCATTGATGCTAACACTATTAAGTGTTGAGAATTGAGAACCGCTCAAGCCGGTGCTAGGGGACGTGAGGAATGTTGCACTTATTCATTATCCCTCATGTACAGACTCAATCAAACCGAATCTGCAATTATCGTGTAATTTTGTTGTGATTAATGCTTCCGAGGGATCACTTTATTTTCAAGATTTTTTTACTACTTCAGAATTATTATTCATTTGTGTGACCTAAATGTATGTCAGTACTTTCCAGTTATTTCCTGTCTTATATTCTCTCATTGATTTATCTTTCAAGTTGAGCATTTAGTACTTTAGATTAAATTCATCTGAAGTTGTGAAATGCATCTCTCAATACCATCTCTCACTTCAATCAAGTCTGCAATATTATCAATTATATTAAAACTTTCTATAATACTTTCATTTTCTGTAAGTAATAGAACTTGCTCATGCACGATAGTGGTTAGAAAGACCTTTCACATATTTCCAGTGATTTTTCAAAGTTTTCGTTTACACAGTTTTAGATGAAATAGCAATCATCAAACAAAATAAATGAGGTGATCATAATAATATATTAAATACAATTGTAGTGAAACTATATGTTGTAACAATCAGGTAAAAGTAATTTCGTTTGTTTGTTTGTTTATTTTAGTTGGGTTTTAATTCTGGCATCCAGTGATTCTGTAAGGGAAGATATTTCGTAGATAACCGGATATAATAAGAATTAATCTTTAAGATTATAAATTGGCGTCTATTTTTGAGTAAATAATGTAGATAGAATGCAATATAATTATATAATTTTACATCAGTGTTGCTTAGTTTAGATACAATTGATTCACGAGTAGGAATTTTCTCACAAGTACACCAGATAAAATGTTTCGGCGTAAAATATAAAAAATAAATATAAATTAACATGATGCGGTATTCATCATCTAACGTAGTTGAGCAATGGGCATATCATTATCATCATATATATTTTTGAAGAATCAAGTATTATAATGTGGTAAATTACCCGCCTTGAAATTTGACTACGAGTGATCTTATTATAAATGATTTGTAAGAAAGACTCGTTTTCTACTATTAACCTGTTTTCCATGCTTCCCTAGACCTTCATATTAAGGATTTGCTTCCTAAAATCTTTCCTATAATTTTTGTTTCAGTCACGGTAATAGATGCGCAAGTATAATAGCTGCTGAGAAAGGAAACGGATTGTGCAATGCTGGAATTGCCTTTGCTGGAAAAGTTGTTCGTAAGTAGAATATTGTTATAATCAATTTGTAATGTATAAACTATAAGACATTACGAGTTGGATATTCTTTATTTTTCTTGTTATATGGAACGAATGTTCTTTTAGTAAAATTCATTTTCGTTCTATTTGAAGTTAAAAATGCATATGTATGGATTAATTGGCAGTGTAATTTTCTAAAACGACCAAGAATCTCTGGGACAATGGGATTAACAAAATATGTAAAATTTTACATTTTATTGAAAATCAAACAATTCCGTATTATTGATTTTTTTTTCATGAGGGACAATGGCACTGAAACCGAAGTTTTACAGGTAAACAAATAAATTTTCTTAATACATGTACATTATTTTCAGCGTTAAAGATATTTTCATTGCTGCATCAATACAGAACATTTATCCTGCACACAACGGGCGACATCATGGGTGCTGCTTTATCCTACCATAACGAAGATATTCATATCTACTCAAATAGCTGGTCGCCACCCACAAAATTTGGACCACTTGATGATGCTATGAAAAACGCTATTTTTCATGGAGCAACAAGAGTGAGTACATTAAGTGGAATTATTTTAATAGTTACAAAGAAATATCATAATTATAACACATAAATGTGTGTAGTAAATTGAATGGTCTTTTTCGACAAACAATAATCTTCATTAGGATTAATTCAATAAAAACATTATTGTAAAATTACTTTCCGATGTATATTACAGGGAAGGAATGAGCTTGGGTCAATATATGTTTTTCCGGATGGTTCGGATGGAATTACTGGCAGTGGGCACGCAAACAGTATATATACCATTGCAGTCAATAGCGTAAATATCGGAGGTTCCTTGCCAAAGAATCCTGAAGTTAGCGCATGCGTGATAACATCTGGCCTCGGTGATGGGAACAGACTCACTACAAATAGTATGGTAGGTTTTAAAACATTGATAAGTTTTTATAATCATTCGATTTCGAAACTAAGTTGGCAAACTAAATCGAGTAATTTTGCTTTTCCGTTTTCTGCATAATGAAAGAAAAAGTGAAAAAAATACAAACTGAAAAGTTATAGTAAGTACATAAACTGAATTTTGGAAAGAAAATTTATATGCATTGAAAGTTCCTTTCCAATTTACTTATTTCAAACTGACACTATCTTAATCATGTTATAATGTTTCTTTTTTTTAGATGACATCATCATACAACAATGCATGTGTTGAATCATTCAAGGGCGTTTCGGCGGCTGTTGCTGAAGTGTCTGCTATCATAGCTCTAGTCTTACAAGCAAGGTATCGACAATTTTGTTATCTTATTTGTTTCGTAGACATCCACTAATATGAATAAACATGAGCTGGACAGTGGTTCGAATTGCATACTCTTGTCCTTGTATTTCGATGGTGAGAATGAACATCACATATATGCAATACGATTTAAATCATGAGTACATGTTTAACCTCTATATTTTAGATCTGATTTAACACTCCGGGATATTCAGCTCTTACTAGCGGAATCGTCTGACCGAGATGGGCTGGCGCAATCAAATTTCTTTAATAGGAATGCAGCCGGAAAGTACTGTAAGAATTATTTTTCATTGAAAAAATATCCTGTAATCAATCTCAGTATTGTTGCATGTGTCATATCCTTTGGAATAAATGATTCCAGTGCTAGTACTGTTTAATAGTGAATACCGAGAGGGTACGAGAAATGTTGCACCTTTTCTTATGTCGCGTGAACAAACTCTTACTATTATATTTATTACTACTGATAAATGTCCCCGAATCCCTAAATCACCCCTAGTAGTAGCTGAGGGATCTCCTTTAAAGGTTGAGACGTTTGAATTGCAGCCACTGAGTAACCTTTGCGTTATTGTTGAAGGCAACGAAATGGGTTTGAATGACTGGAGTATATGCGTTTCTTAGCTCCAGCAGGTGAGGTTGTTTTTACCCAAGGTGTTGTTTATCCCAAATAAACTCCTTATCCAGTTCAACAACCTTGTTGGTGATCTTAACCGTGTTGGTGCTTTGAAAAGAAAAAAAAACAAACAAATAAATTCAAAGTATTTCATTAATAATAAGACAATTAACAACAGTTATTCATCCCTAGGACTACTTGCTACATATTCGTTTCATGCGGTTTGTGCAGACAAAGATTAGACTGTACCTGATCTGCACTGTTCGCTTTTCAATCATTACATATTAATTTTTTTTCTCTCAAAATGATGTTTTGTCAAGAATGAAAGAAGGACAAATCCATTTAAGATATTGAGACAGGTAAGGATTACATGTGGAAACTTAATATTTTAAGTTCATGCTGTCTTGGGGTTTGGTTTACTGAATGCGGACAAAGCTGTTACAAAAGCAAACACGTGGCGTCATGTTGGAAAGCTATATAATCATTCCTTAGACTACGTGCAAGTTCACTCTGAGACATTCGAAAAGAGAGGACAATCGTAAGTCAACATTATCTGTAGCATTTAAGTAAAAGTTAAAAAAAACATTTATTTATTTTTGTTCTGATATACTATACAGAACAATCAATGCTGAGCAACACCCTGTGATAGAGAAACATTTTGGTTATTGCTCAGAGGTGTTGGTCTATCGAGGTCAAATTTATCGGGGAGTGTTACTTTTGGAGGATTTGAAAATGTTGTTGTTTAGAGTTTTTTGCGCTGCAGAGAGTCACATTGGTGATGCTGCGTTTATAACATATCATAATTAATTATATTTTCATCTGTTTTATGCTTTTTCCATTAGTGTGTATTTAGCATGTAAACTCTTTACTTCTATTCTGAACAAATAAGAATTTTCATTTCTTTCAAGCGTCCAGATGTTGACAAGAATAGAGTTCAGTATGGAAGCAGATCCATGTTGTCCCCACGTAAATACCATAGAGCAAGTAGTGTTACGTATAGGTCATGATGTCATTAATCAGGAGGGTGTTTGCGTTGAAATAGTTTCTCCAAGCATGACGACGTCTGTTATTTTAGATAATAAAGATAGAACAAATATTGACCAGGATACTGTACCAAGAGATTTGACCAGTGTCCACTTTTTGGGAGAATCACCTGTTGGAAACTGGACAGTAAGAATATACCTTGGTCAGAAAGAAGGTAACTTATACTTATAAACCCTTATAGAACGTTTTCAACTATTCAACTGTTTTGAACAAGAATATGAAAAAGGGAACGAACGCATAAAACCTTTTGAAATAATCTGTTATATTCATCCATCTTTATCAAATTGGGGGTGTTTTTATCGGCAAAGAAATATGTCGATGCCAATTGAGGACCATTGTATTTTCATACGAAGAAATAAATTAATGGGATGAATATGTATAATCAAGTATTCAGAAAACTTTTAACCATGTATATTTCTGTACCTTATTACAGCCATGAAGAATCTACGATCAACAACATCCTTAACTATATATGGAACTTTTAATGAGACTAAAGGAAACTACCCCATCATGTGCAAATCTATCGATGAAGGAAATTGTATGGAACAGAACAAGGCAACTAAAGATGTTGGTAACACAATGAAAACTGAATCAGGTGCGGCAACTCAGACACTGGTCAATGATCAACTTATTTACGTTTTAATGGGTTTTATAATAAAAATTTACGTCATGTTGTTTCAATTCCGTTAGAATGTAACTAAGATATTTAGATTACTTATACTTCTTCTAGTATCAATCAGATAGCTGTTTAGGGAGATGACAACTTGCAAAACTTTATATAATGACTTCATAATTAGGACGGATCGCTTTAAATGGTTTTCATATCTTTTTTCATTCTTTTGAAATAAGTTTGATATTTATGTTATATACTCTATGCATGAGATTAATACCATTAATGCCATTAATTTTCTCTTGTGAATTATTTCTTGCCTTTACAAATCTGTTTAACCATTTGGAATAATGTAACTTAATTCTCTTTGTATTTTTGATTATCTTTGTTTGATAAGTTATGTTGTCTTACCTCCATTTTTTGCTTCATATAAAAACAATTATGTGAAAATATGAGAGTGAAACTAAACCGTCTTGTCAATCAGCAGCTCTTAAAATACATGTAGATCAGATTGAGGATATATGTTTGGAACCTTTATTTGTGCTATAAATTTTTGAAATGCTTAACTGATAAAATAATATATATTCTTTATCCTTGCTCAAGTACCTATCAAGAGGAATTCAAAACCCTATAGTGCAGGCATTGTTAATAAATAGTGCCAGTAAAGGAAATTACAACTTGGTCTAGTCATTATACATGTTTTGAGTTTTTATTTATTTTATTGTTATTAATAATTTTATTTCTATTTTTTCTTATCATTTTATCTTATTATGACCAGAGGAATAGAATCTGTTTTGCAGTATCAAGACTGTATTTTTGTGTTACAGCTGCTACACAGTGTACATAAATTAATAACATGTTTTAGAAATTGAAATCTATATTCTTTATTAAGAATCAATGCATTAATTATGGCTGGTTAAACTTTATTTATTCGATTTTTTTTTAATTTTGTTACTTTCGAAAAAAGATTTTGAGCTATTTGCTACAGTCAGGTTGCCGTCTCATTTGTCGTCCAGAAGTTTTAACATTGGCTATATTTGGTTTATTTCATCATGGACCGTCTTCAAAGTTAGACACAACGACCTTTTTAACAAGACCTCAAGAAAACCAGACAGATCTTGACTCCCCTTTAAATAACCATAACCTTCAAGGTCAAATATTTGAATTTGTTTGATTATTTGCTATAGTTGGCTATATAGTTGGCTTTGATATTTGTAATTAAGTTGTCTTCATATTTGAATACAACTATGCTTTGGACAAGACCTTCGTGTAGAATAAACTGATTTTGACCTTCACTCATCAATGAATTTAACCTTGAAGGCCAATTTACTGAAGTTTGCTTGATGTTTGATATGATTGGCTATAACGTTAGTACCTTTGAATGGTTTGTCATGGAACTTTGGTTCCTGATTTTTGTCCTCATACTGAAGCACAAGAAGAACAATGTCTTCTAGGATATTTAACTCAAACTGACATTGACTAATAAATGGCCCTGAAATTGAAGGTCATATTATTGTAAATTTACAGATTTTCATTGACATTGACCTTTAAATGACCTTGACCGTCAATGTCAAATATCGAACTAAGCTTAGATTTGTTATCTATTTCCGGATTTAATTTATAGTTCTATATACTTGGACATAAGAACCATTATGACAACACCCGTATGTTGAATAATGACCGTGCCCTTTATGCAACCTTGACTGTCGATGTCAAAGTATTGAAATTGGATAAATTGGCAAACCATTAATTTATTTACAGATTTGATTTAAACCTTGACAAAAGAATACATATGACAAAGTCGATATGTTGAACTATTCTGATATCACTTTAATTGACATTTAGCGTCAAGGTCAAAATATTGAAATAATTTACTTAAAATACCATTACTTTATTATCTATTTATGGATTTGATTCATTCTTGGATAAAAGAACACTGATGACAAAATGACATGATGATTTATTCAAACGTGAACCTGACCTTTGAATGATCTTGACTACCAAGGTCAACTATGAAATTTGAGTTTTACTTGTACAAGATAATTATGTCTTTTAAGAGCATTGTTTACTACAATATTCTTCCTCAGATGTGTTTGACTATAGAAATAAGAAAAAGTCGAGTGTAGCTCTTGTTTATATACTTATCAATGTAAGGTACGTGTTCGAGTCTCCATTGAAATTGATGTATGAGAAATTATCCAATTTATATTACTTGATATGCTTTAAGTTTTGGATTGTTACTTGTTCTTGCTTCTTACATTCATCCTTCCTCTTTGGTGTCAAGTACAGCTTAATATTATTTTTTAGCATATATAAGTTAACATAATGGTTTGTTTTATACTTGATAATTTTATCAGTATTTTTTTAAGGCAACCAACCATATGGAAGACGCAATATGCCATGAATTAATTTTCAAATTATCTTTGAACATAATTATTAATAGTTTTAACATGCGCCTGTGCGAACCAGAAAGAGCAACTTAATTTAAGCTATGATATGTAGTTAACCTTACAGGGTGGATTTCCAAAACGGACATAGTTGAAAAAAAAATGACAATGGGGGCACCTACTTTTAGTCATCATATTTTTCCCAACCAATGTGTGAAGCCTCTGTGGACGAGTGCTTTAGGTCGTTTACCTCAAACTACTTTTCCCTCACCGCTTTTGGTTCAGATGTACCAACAGGGACATTGGATTCTTCCATGGAAGGAAGCTATCTAGCTAGCTAACGAAACGCCGGCAAGTCTTATTTGGTCTTTGCTCGAAAGTCGTTATATACTGTGTTGGTGCGACGGAAAAGCCAACCAAATTCATAACCAGACACATGTTTATTTTTGTATTATGCATGTACAACGTTTTTATAACAGCTGAAACAAATTGATTAGAAACACGTATTGGAACAGGCTCAATCAAACCGAGCCTGCAACATTTTCAATTTTGCCGTGTTGGGCTTATCTTTTTTTTGGAAATCTAAATCGTTGCTTATAATAATATTTTATTCAGGTTTAGTTATGTTTAAATGTTTTTATAAAAAAACTAAGTTTCAAGTTAATGCTTATTTTAATTTGTTTTATAGTTATCTATTTTGATGTCAAGTACTAGAAAATTTATATAACTCTATTATATCTGAAACATGATAAAAGAACCCCGAATGTAATTTCAATGATATCATTATGCAAGAGGACGATAGCTTTTATTCATGATTATATAAGTACAATGTAAAATGACTTTTAATGTGACATTTTTAGGATAAAGTATAATGTAAAACATTTTTGTTTGGCCTAATGTGATTATCCTGAATACGCCCTGCTGTTGTTTTGTATCTTTGTGTGAGCAATTACAATTAAATGAAACATTGTATATTAAATGAATAAGTCAGCAATTTGATTTATTTGATTAAACAAAATGACTAAACAAATATGTTTTATGTTTATATTATATTTTTTTCCATTACATTTCATTGTCAGAATTTGTCTAGGTCAAATACTTTTTGTTTTTATGTTTGTGCTAGCCAAACAAGATAAAAATGAATGTCTTTGACTTATTTATGCCAATAATATATATTAAGCAGCTTCTTCCAAACTAAAACCCCGACCAGAAAGACTTTTTTTAAACATGTGCTATTTGTTCATTGCATTACATAGTTGCTGAAGTAACAAGACATATTAGTATCAACTTTAACAGGAAATGTCGAACGACACATATGCCTCCCTTTCTAGCCCTTGACCAACATAATTGGTAATTATAAAATATGAAGACTTTGAGATAAATAGTTTTCAAGATAATCAACGGAAACCATCTGGTCTACCGACGGACAGACAGACCAACAGACCGACAGACAGACAAACCGACAATAGCAAAACAATATACCCCCTCTTCTTCGAAGGGGATCATAATTAATCAAAAGAACCTTCTTTTTAAGTGTATTAGAGTTTCGTTAAGTTCTTTTTTTTTCAAGTTTAGTTTTTCAGATATTAAATTCAATTTAACCACGTTTCCTCCCTCTAATGAATTTATATTGCTTTTAAATCTCATAACTTAGTTATAAATTTTGTAAAAAGTAACAAGGCCACTAAAAATGTTGACGATCCCGTACGATCATGTGCATGCAGATACGGAAAAACACAAAGAAACGAATGCATCCGGTATTCTCAGCTACGTATGTCAAATATATAAGAGTGTTGTGTTCAGTGGATATAAAAAATATAATTTTCATATATCTTTGCATATTAATGAAATTTTTATATTACCACCAACGACTACATGGTTTGTCAAATGTAATTGTTTTTAAAAAGAATTACACAATTATATTACTTTTTTCAGGATTGCAATTGTTTTTTTTTTCGGAATTTCCGTCGGTGTTGCAAATAATCAACTAAGCGTTCCCATTAAACTTCTTATTTGGAATTTCGATTCGACTTGAGGTATGTTCAGGGATGTTATATTTCCGATCATTTAAGATCGTTATGATTAAATAAGGACTGCAATTACTTGTGTGAATTCAAATTTGTGATTGCTAACAGCTTTTCAGAATTTCAGTAGGGTTGTCTAAAAAACTTTCCATTACTGTCCATTACCAGTCTCAATCAAACAGAGTCTGAAACATTTTCAATTTGTCGTATTGTGCGTTCTTTGGGGTTTCTATATTTCTTTCTATTTTATTTGTGTAAGTTATTCTCTTTCAATCTAAAATGATATTCAGAATAATAAAAATTCAAAGCAAGATTCTTGAGTACAGTACTCTTTGTTCTGGGTCGCAATAATGCTTAGACTACGTCATAGAGGGCAGATATTGCCCATACATAAAATATCATAATACATCAACTCGTAGTACAGTTTGTGAGAAGCCTGAAAAGCTGTTAGCAATCACAAATTTGAATTCACACAAGTAATTTCAGTCATTATTTAATCATTAAACAGGCACTGTTTACATATCCTAATGAATACAAAAATTTGAAATGATTTTTGCAAACAAAGCCAGGTTTACATCGGCCAAGTATCTTTATTTTGAAAGACACATGGCGCCAAGTCTGGAGGATACGTTGGATGTTTATGGACAGTCACTCAGTTTTTTCTCCAAAACAAATCAATTACAGTAGCTCATTTGTGTGCAGGAGTGCTGTCATGCAGGAGTACAGGCCTTTCATACCAGCTGAATGACGAAGTTTATTGAAGTGTTTTTTTTTTAATTTCATGTAGCACGAAAACGCTTTAATACCAAGAATTGACAGAACGACCTCTAGAAACAGGAATTTGGACAATAGTTCCACGGGTATTGAACATAACTTTCTTGTCAATCGTTTGCGTATTGTATAGCCGACGAACATTTTTATGTGACTCAAATCTTATTGTTGCTTTTGCAAACAGGCTAGTAAAAACAGATTTCGTCACAAGACACGAACTGTGGTTGTCATATTTAGGAAACGAATTTATGATAAGCAAACTTACTTTATTAGAGAAAAATATGAAATTACTTTAAACAGCTGTCGAGCATATAGTATATATATTAATATTCATGATTGCCCAATAAAAAAAGACGTTACAAACGTGCAGTATAATTATAAAATGTATATTTTTTATTTAATGGTGCCATCTTTTCTTTTGTTGACATATTGACTAAAATGCAACAGAGTTGCCTGCAAAGTCAAAACAAGTGTGCACTGAATGTTATAGTAGGATATTTAAATCGACAAATATATATTAAACAGCAGAACGGATACTTCAAACATGTACATAAATGTACATATTTTTGTAGATTTGTTTGTTTTTTAACTTGCGTGTTACATTTGCTATATATTTAAGTATAAATACACTTTTGTTGTTTAATACACACTGACTCGGTGTGTAGGCTAGTAAATATAATCAATGGTAGTGTAAACATGCGTTTAAGATTACATTCATGCAATGCAGTGTTAAGTAAATTTCAATATGGAAATAAATGTAGAAAATTTGGACCTTAAAAGTGAAGCCGAAAAGAACACATCGGACGATAAAACTGTGGATTTAGATAAAATGTCTCGTAAAATAATATTAAAGAATTTATTAATTTTAAGTTTTGCCTGTATGTTACAGTTCAGTGCATTTAATTCATTTGCAAATTTACAAAGTTCATTAAATAAAGAAGAAGGTCTAGGGACTACAGGTCTTGCATTACTGTACAGTGTTATGGTGCTTACAAGTCTATTTATAGCCCCGATAAGCATGGACAGAATATCTACTAAGTGGATAATGGTATGGTCAATGTGCACGTATATAATTTACACGGCAACCGGATTTAATCCGACCTGGTATACGGTCATACCTGCGTCAGTTATTATTGGGATAGTTAAGTATCTTACAATATATAACACAATCATTTTATATCTTTATATTAACAATGTCGTACATTTTAAATAGATTGTGATTATATATTTTTAAAACAAAATTTGTTAGTGTTATTTTTAGTATACTAAGTCATGTAAGTTACACATTAAGTATATATTTTATATCAAATATCGTTGTATTTTAAAAATCTGCTTGAAACGATGCGTAAATTATCTCATTTATTGTACATATTATAACACAAAGAAAAAGTCTGTGTTCGTTCGGGATATGACCGATTATAAAAGAGTGATTTGAAGCAAATAAACACAGAAAATAAAATTACATATATTTCATCATTTAAAAATGCACATGGATAATTTTGGGATTGCGATGTTGGCATTAGCCCGGACATTTACATGCATTTCATTTTTATTAAACCGGGACACTTAACTTTCACCTAGTAAAATGAAGTAATTATTTATACATGCTACATATATATAAATATATATGCCCTTTGAAACGTTTGTCGGAAACGGTTTTAAAGAGATACAATCGAGAATCATGTTATTATGACTAATCATCTAAATTGTTTAAATGTGTCAAGTTCGGATTAAAGTGCATAACATGCACTACGTTTATTATCTTTGCTTTCCTTTTTTATCTGTTCTAACCAGTCATAAGATATCTTTGGTTTTAAATCTTACCTAATCTATTCATATAAAAAGTTTGCACTTGAAATAAACGATGCTTTTTATCTTTATGCATGCACACTTGGTAAAGTGCAACTAGTCTCTCAACAATTACTCGTCTGATAGTACCGCTTTTGTACTTTACTTTTGAAGATTATTGATTAACTATTAGCAAAGCAGAGCTGTGCTAAATTTGTCACATATAGATAGATACCTTGAAGAACGCTGAAAACGACCATAATTGAAAATGTTGCAGACTCGGTTTGATGCATGCAACCGCCCACGCCCACTAGCTTCGGCAGAATCCAACATCTGCAGAAGTTAAGATTCAGAGTTAATAAGAGCATAATTCAGTTTTCAGTGTTTGGTCAACGAACTACTAGAATACTAATCACTTAAATTAATGGATACTTAACAATTGAGAAATATCCAATAAATTACAAAGCCCTTGTACTTATAGAAGCTGTAAAATCTGTTATATATGTTATGCAAGAAATAAAAGGCACAAAATTTGGAAACATTTAGACACTTTCATTTTTCATTACCGGTCGTCATTTTTCACAGATGTCTTCTTCTTCCAAATGTTTTTATTTAAAGAGCAAACGTTTGTATAAACGCATATTATTTGTAGGTGCCGCTCATTTTTGGTTGGCAATGCCGGCGTATGTTATTGACATTGCTAAGAGTTACGCCCAAGTAACTGACACTGTAGATCAGGATAGAGTGACCTTCTTTTTTGGTATTGTTTATGCTGCAATATATACAAGTAAGTACATCATTATTATATGATGAAAAAGACGAATAACTAAGTAATCGAAGCAACGTGTAAGAATTCTTAAGTTAAGTTGTAAAACAAATCGGATAAAAAGTGGGGAAACTGACCGATACCTTTCCGATTTTCATTAAATTGAAATATGCCTTAACTCTATGATAATCGGTTGAAGGGATCTCCAAGATAATTTATAATTTGATAATGACGCAAATGTCATTCAAAAGCTATTTTCAAAGGATTATTGTCATTACTTCGGAAATAAATAAATATAATTTAAGTTGGAAAAATGGTGTACAGGGGTGTAAAATATATAGCTTTATCTTCTATTTCTTATCACCACTTTAATACAACTAAGTTTGCAATTTTCGAATTTGCAGTTGTTATGTTGACTCATGATGCTCCTACCTATTGAACTATTTTTTTATGAAATGAGAGTTTCATTATTATAAAAACACATCAAAATTGATTTACTGTTCTGTTTACTTTTGCAGAATTCCTGCACTATTTTCGCATTTCTACGTTTACCTTTGCTTTTTCCGCTTATACACTTATTGCCATTTTAGGTAACATATGGGGAAACCTATTTTCATCTATGGTATTCAGACAGGAGAGAACGAACGAGACGTTGGAGAGTAAAGATGTTCATTGTGGACCTTCATATTGTCCTTACAGAAAATATAACATTTCAGCCATTGTTCCGCCTTCACAGACGCAGGTTATTGTCTGAGTTATATATCAAGTTGATACATTTGAAAATGTTTGCATTGTAAAATTTTCCAGTTCGCCATTCATTATACATATCGCGACTAATTAATAATCAAGCACCCTCATACCGATCGGAATGATCGGCTTTTATTATTGGCAACTATAAAAGGCTCGAGAAGTTGCTGTCGCCCTTTCACAAAATCTCATTTCATTCCAATAGGCGCCGCGCTTCGGCGCGGCCGCCAATCAAATGCTTAAACATGTATCGTTACAATGCAATCTTTGAAACTATAACAAAGTATTATCTAGTCTGATGAATTATTCACAAAGGTCTACGTCATGTTATGTAACTTTAAGCAAGGGTCCCTGCCGTTAATTCTCCTACATTCAAGCTGTTTTGTCAGGTCGATAATTAACCTTATTTATTAGTAAATATGTTTATTAATTTTTGATTATTATGTTTTATCATGACATAATAATCAAAAATTAATAAACATATTTAATGATTGTTTAATACTAAACTGTAATCTAACAATTTTCATGAAAGTTTCATGCATTTTAGTTATAGGGTCGAACTTAATATTTTTATAAACGTGGTTTGGTTCTGGTGCTCTTTACGTTATTTTGTTCTCAGCTAAACATATCAGATCCTTGCAATTCCTTTAATAACATTTCAATAAAGTGCACTCTTCAGTGATTTTTGCTCGGCCGCTTTACTTCATGTTAAAGTTCTTAAGGTTTCTAACATGATCTTTCACAACGTATCCTTTTTATTGTAGGTGTATACATATACAGGATTTTGTTCAGGAATAACCGCCTTTGCAATATTGTTGATAATCGTATTTTTAACCAACATTAGTACTGACAGCGGAAAATCGCAGAGTGCCTGTAAACAAAGTCGAATGGTGGCAACACACATATTCCGATCCAGAGACCAACATTTATTATTTTGTTCTTCAATATTTAGCGGTCTAGCAAATGGATTTGTTGTTGGAGATTTTACAAGTGTATGTATTACGTGCTTAATCTTGGTGTTTGTCATACAAAATAGGGGAGCTATTTCTTACTTGAGTGGAAATTTTCTTTATTTCACTTTCTTACAGCAATACAATGTTTTGGCAAAAGAAACAAGCTTATTTATATTACAAATGTGATGCATTTGTTGGATATATATCTAATGCAGTTTTTATCTGTATCTCATGAGTTTTTTTTTGTCAAGCTTAACTACAATGATAACAAAGATCGCCTTCGACAACGGCGACTGTACACTTTAGGTTTTTTTTGTTTTTTTTTTTTTTTTTTTTTTTTTTTTTACTTTGGGACCATACGCCGCTTTTTATGGAATGGCACGGAAGTGTCACATTGAAGGTTCCATGATAACCGCCGTATGAACACATCTGCGGATGTTTCTAAATTCAAAATTTTACTATTTCATGTTTAAATGTTGAATTCTGATTAAGCCGGTGCTAGGGGGCGTGGAGGGTAACTTGCACTTTCCAGTACCGTCCATGAACAGGCTCAATCAAACCGAGCCTGCAACATTTTCAATTTTGCCCTGTTGGGCTTTAGGGATTCTGTATTTATCTATTTCAATTGTTTGATCTACATGTTGTTTTCTTATCTGTTCCTGTTAGACACCTGACTATTGAACTTGCTCTAGTGTGTATTAGGTTTATTATATCGTTTGCTTTTCTGGTTTCAATTGAAATAATTCACAGGATATCAGTTACATTGAACTTCTTACTTGCATATTTGGGGAGGAATATATCAAATGGACACAATATCGGAGAATTTTCTCCAGGAGTAAAAATTCTGCAGATGTTTCAAAACTGATACAATTGCTTTAATAGTAAGAAATCGTCACAATACTAATAATTGCAAGAAAAGTGAAACTAAGTAAATGAAGATTAAAGTTGAAACCTTGTTGTTGATGATGTTCTTGTTAGCTAAATTATGTTATTATATGTGCTATGATTGTCCTATATTTCAGGCATACATAAGCTGTCCATATGGGATACAAAATGTAGGACTTGGTATGATAACATTAGGAGTAGTTCAGTCTATATTCAGTGTTGTATTTGGAAAATTAAATCAATACATTGGTCATATCGCAATATTTACCTTTGGTAAGTGTACCATTAAAAGAGATTTGCATATGTTTAAAAATGTGTGGCAGATATATACTGCGTTAATACAAATTATTTTTTTTTATAGTTTTCTCGATATGCAGAAATAAAGTAGCAATATGAGATACATTTGAACACATTTGTAGTTTAACAAGATGTATTCACTTCTAAAGAAATGTTGAATGTTTAAATAATTCTTAGTTGACTATAAGGCAAAACCAAAAGATGATAAAAATAGTCTTATTCTAATTTATGGTAGTCTTACTCTTAATGTTTTCCGGCAAAAATATTTCTAACATCGTCCAAAATCGTAATTAATCGGTCATTTCCGGATTGTTATTTTTCAAGATCTTCGGTATTCAGTAATTTTTAACCGTTTACCACCGGAATTTAGTACAAAACGATAAATAATGAGTGATCTTATGTCCAAGATTTTGAAAAAAAATATATTCTTGAAATAATTGATTTGCTACGATATTGTCCGATGTAAGATTTTTTTGGCGGGAAGACAACCTTAATAAAGTTTTTCTTTGTGACAGGTTCAATGACACATGCCTCATTTTATATAACATTGTTGTTGTGGCATCCATTGCCGAATCAGTCATATATAGTACATGTGCTTGCTGCTATTGCGGGCATATCAGGAGCAGCAAATGAACCAGTTATAACAGGTAAAATAGTAGAAACAAATAACCTATACATTGCTGATTTTTTTTAAAAATGTAATCATTCATTTTCATATTTGGAATTACCATTCTTAAAAAATCGTAGACTGACCTGGCTTTAAACTAGTAGAAAAGTTTTATCTATTTCTGTTGATTAAACAGCAGATTTTATAGAATATATCGTAGCACATGCTTTTCCTTTATGACCATTACGGCAATGGTTATGAAATATGACACGTAAAAGTGTCATAATTAAGGTTCAACATTCTCCGCCGAATAAACACATCTGCGGATTTTCTAAATTCGTAATTAAACATTATTTCATATTTAAATGTAAATAGCGGCTTAAGCACTTGATGGGGGTTCTGGACAAGTCAAGTAGCATATAGTTACCACTGCTGCGCATGTTGAGCTGCCTTTAAGTTTTTCTTTTTTCGTATCATGAGGACGATACAATTTTATACCTAAAACTAAAATCAAAGTATAATGATATTAAAAGTAGGTAAAAAATGAATCGTCATTCTTTATAAACTATTTAAACGTATTTGTATCATAGTTTGGGGACCTTTCTGTTGAAAAATGTGTCTGAGTTAAATCGTATACATGCACGGTGCGTTAACTGGAGTGCACTCCAGAGCATGCCTATTGATTGGCTCATTTGTCCTTGGGGTTTACTTATTGTGACGGCAGAGACAGGGAAAGCGACAGAAATATCATATTCAGATGCTCGTTCATTTGTTCCCTTTTTCTGGGGTTTCATATTTTACAGCAGCGAACGTGCTTTAAAGTTTAACTATGATAAAAAAGAGAAAGAACATCAAAACATTCTACAATCTGATTAATACTCGGGGGTTACGCCCCCTTGTACAAATGAGATAGATGCATTTTCTATTACTTATTTTATGCTTGAAAAACTATTTCATTAGTGTTTAAAAAGTAAACCTTGCGCAATCTTTATAATATATACAATTTGTGTACATGAGTGTAAAATGCGAGTTTAAATACGCATAGTGATTAATCATTATAACTAATACATCAGTGAAATGATTACTGTTAATTGTACAGTTTAACTCTTACATCATTCCATCCTTTAAGATATCATATACACAAAAATAATTTGATTGATTCATACCACGTTTATAAATAGTCTACGATAGACAAAAAAATACATTTTTGGGCCAAGACATATATATTTAAAGGGAGACACAGACAAAATTTTCATTTTTTAGTTTTGAACTTTTCATTCCTTATTCTGTAAATGCCCATAAAATTAATATATTAGACAGTCAAAGGAACAAATCTTTTCTCCGTATAAAGAATAAAATGGTAGTTACCTAACTTGACACGCGTGGGTCAGGTTAGAGCACTAGGATTCCACAATAGTTGTCACAGTGAACTCTGGAACATTAAAGAACATGTCAAATGAATGACTTAGACTTGTCTCAATCATACAATATCCACAATATCTGTAATTGTAACTTCAAGGGTTTGTTCAAGTGACCTGACTTGTTTTCAAACTATTCGGTGATTCTATTGGTGTCTAAATTTTGTTCAACATATATTTAGGAAATAGATATCAATTCTGAGTGCATTGTTGTAGAATAATGCACGGTTTGAGTTCAAATGCGTAGTAATATAATCACGAAGGCCGATAGGCCTGAGTGATTAATTACAAAGCATTTGAACGAAAAACGTGCATTATTATACAATAATGCACGAAGAATTGATATCTATTTCCATTCTAATACGTCAAGAAAAAATATAATTTTTATTATAACGTTGGACTTTATGTTTGGTGGTTGAATTTGTTTTTCGCCTCAGAGTTTCCAATAGAAACGTTCTTTAGAGGCCGTTCCAGTGGGTTGAAAAAAAACTGTTAAATCTACCGTTTGTAGAAACATTTTGAAAATAACGAATTTTGAAAACGTTGATACAACTTTGTTTGTTTATTTATTTCAGTTTATAATTTTCCAAGCGAAATACAAATTATTAAAAGTGAAATAAATGTAAAACTAAACTCGTTTGCGACATTAAATAGCGAACTTGATTTGATTGTTTTGCACGTGCTGTTTGGCGCTACATTGTGACGTCACGTAAACAACACTTTAAACGTCTGTACAGCGTTAACGACTGAATTAAAGATATTGGTGTTCGGATTAATTTTCTTAGTTAGACCATTTTCTTTCATTCTAGATAGTTTTCACAACAAAATTCGAAAAAAATTGTTTTAATTTATCAGATTTTTTAAACAAAATGGCGCCTTCAATGTGAAAATACACAGGGAGATAATAAGAACGGCGAGTGCATTGTTGTAGAATAATGCACGCTTCCGGCCTTCTTTGTCTATATAGAAAAAATTCCGATAGTGTTAGAATGATATATTTACGCGTCAAACCCCAAACATATAGAATTTAAACAGAAATGCATGCTGAATCTTTAAGACATGTCATTTTAGCGTGATTTGAGTACATAAGATCATTTTAATATTTTTGACATTATTTTGACTAAATATCCCTTTAACTCATTTCACAGGAATTGTAAAGTTACGAAAACAAGCAATGATTTTACTTTGATTACTTCCACATCACAATTCTCCGTAACCGAAGTATTATTATTCAAATGCCCATGCAAACGTTCTCGTTTAATAACAATGCATTTACCAAAAAGAAAATATCTTTATACTTCTAACGAGAATTATAACCACAAATCGTTTTTTCCTGCATTATGCTAAATCTCAAACACAAATACATAACGTTACTTGCATTGTCATTAGACGATATTTTTAGATTTTACTGAAAAATGTCTTCTACGTTACGCTCAATATAATTATTTCAAAGGCACAAATTACATCGCATTTTATTGCGTACATGTCATAGAAGTTTTCGAAAATCTATCGAAGAATAATATATATTGTATGCATTGATCGTATAGTCAGGTTAATAAGATAGATGAATATTCAAATGCAAAAAAAAGTTTCAGAGTTAAATATTTGATAAACAGACTTTATTTCTCTCTAGATTTAACTCATTGGAATATATTTCAAGTTTTTTTCTCTAAGCATAATACGCTTTACATATAAATTATCTGTTTATACGGCTCCTGCCAATTTATAAAGTAATTCTTATTCCAAATAAAAAAGAAAATATGGAATGCAATTCAAAGTTTGTTTGCCAAATAAAGATTATATTGTAAAAATAATACTATGACCACAGCAGATTACGTACAGAAAAACAAACTGTTGGAACTATCGGTGACAATAATTTAGTCTGCCTGTACCGCTTATTTTCGAAGCTGTAACTGTAAAATTCTCCTCGTATCCCCGCAACCGAAACTATTCTTATCGACTTCTAGTAATATAATATTATATAAATATATAATCATGTATGACCATGTTTAATCGGATGTTTGTTTAATAAACCCTTATCTAGAAATTGAGGGTATATATAACTACCTATCAATCGATTATACTGGGCCATATAACATATCAAATGATCGAAAGTTTCCCTATTTTTCAGCTCTTCATAACCTTTATTTTGTCGAGAACAAGGACATTGCTCTATCTAGTTTTCGTCTTCTCAACTCAATAGGATGGGCCATATCATTCGCATACAGTAACTGGCTGTGCCCAAACGTTAAAATGTACATACTGATTGGTGGATTACTTATATCTTTAGCAACATTAATTTACCTCGATGTGAAGCATAGACAGACGAGGAGAAGAAGTGAAAAACAAACAATAATGGAAAAAGATACAGTTACAGAGGATCTGATTTCAAACCAAATGTTATAACCCATAGAATTCTAGCAGCGTTTATGACTTTCATTTGCCAAGTTCAGTGTTTTACATTGATATTTAAAACGCTTGTGAAAATAATTGACGTTGTTCCAATTTCCAACAAGGGAATGTCCATTTTTATATACCATGCGGTGTGTGGGTTGAAACAAAATTTGGATTTGGATATATGATGGTGGTTATTAATGCACAGTGTATACAATTTAAAAAGAACACTGACAAGTGAATTTATATGTTGAATACAGGTGTACAAAATCACATGATGCCGCTTGTTTTCAAAGAAATAAGTATTTCTTAACATCATGCAAGTATTATATAGCAATGGCATACAAACGTGTGTGTTTTACGTCAAATACTATAAATTTAAATACTTTTACTCATATGTAAAAATGTTCATATTCGTTGATAAAGGCATAACATTATTCCATTCAAAGAATTAATATATCAATAAAACTAATAGTATTTGAATATAATATTTTAATCACACCCCTACCGCAAACGAAACAATACATAATCTAAATATTTTCTTTTACATTTATATTAGAAATTGTTAAGATAAATTATTTATTCAGATTAATTGTAATGAAGAGACAACATTCTATGTCAGAATGGACAGAATTTTAATCTATATGAATTCCTATTAAAAGCAACACACATTGATCTTATACTAAAAGTGAGGTAAGAGTAAGAGCTAAATCATCTTCAAAATATGTAAGAGTTATGTATTCTCGTTCTTACTGAACGAGTGAATTTTTACGTTACCTGTCGTCAAACATCTGTTTAATATATATATATGTGTTGGCCTATGGAATATGACTTTGTTAATTGTATATTGTACTGTTTCTGAAAGAATAAAACTTCTTATTTTTCAAGGAAAATTAAAGATTTTAAAAGTAGTTTAAACGCAAGTTAGGCCTATAAGCATTTCACAATGACAGTAAGACAGTCAGATATTAATTCGAAACTGCATATTAGTCACTCCTACATCAATAAATTTGTTGGACCTGAAATAACCTTGCATCTAAACCATTATTAAAATACATATATGTCTAATCTCGTAAACAGGACACCGCAAACATTGAAGCTCTTAAACACAATGGCCGAAATTTCGAAAGAAAAAGCTGAAGTATTCAAGCAACTAGTATGCTCAGCTTAATATATGCTAATGAAGAACAATTTAACAAACAAGGAGGAAAAACTACATCTATATGTGCCGAAAATGAATGTCACACTTCTCTAACGGCTATACACTACTAAATGTAAACTAAACCATGAGTCCTGTCTATACGATGATACTAGGCATGGATTTCCCCACTAAAGCATGATTCTTATGTATGTGCCAAAGACGGCGTAATTTTACAGAGACGCCCGTAATAGCTCCTTATTCCTCTACGTACTGGATGAATTCGTTAGCTTCCACTACTGCTTTCTTTTTAATTCGATTTTAGCTATGACAGATAGACGGAAAACTTTATTTCCACTCCAGGTATTAAAATACCATAGGAGGATATGCAAAATAAATATATCTAGCCATATAAAGTTATGAGACCTCGTATTACCTTTGTTTAAGAAATAATATATCCCAAACAGTGATTTTATCGCTCAATAACATCACTGTTTGGAGTTTGGATGCGAGGAATTATATCACGAGGGCGTAGCCCGAGTGATATAATGATGCGCATCCGAACGACAAACAGTGATGTTATCAAGCGATAAAATCACTAATTTGGATATATTATTTCGATTCTAACACGACATCAACAAATAAATGTTGCCGTACTTGATAGCTAAGCAAAATTGCGCCTGATTTGTTTCCGTACTTATTTTCAGCGCGTCGGATTTTTAGTGGTTACGTCGCGTGTATAATGATTACGTCACATGTCTAAATATAGAACGTCAAACTGTGCATCTGTTGCATAATAACACACACTTTCTGTTCTTCTATGTTCAATAGGGAAAAATGCGGGTCGTGTTAGAATTTTTGGTTGAAACTGTACTAGTAAATAAATCGTGTTTGTGTCCCGTTCCTTACATATCATACCATTCCCATTTCATTATTTACAAACCAATTACCTATGCCAAGTTTTTTTTCAAATATCACGGATGAAAATGTTTTTTTTTCTTAAACTATCAAAGCACAGTAAATTTGCAGACGCAGCTGTGAAAAAAGGATATATACGGGTGATATCGAACAACCCATTCTGATTAAACAACTGCCCTAACTAATGTAAAGAACTATTTACTGTATTCAAATCGATAATAGCATTACAACATATACATAGTCATCGCACTGACTGAAGTTAAGACAATATATACAAATAGTTATTGTTTTCTTTTGGTGAAAATATTAGGAATTTCGAAAAAAAAAATGCTTTCCAAGTAAACAGACATATTTATGAAAACAGCAACTTGGTGATTTTAATTCTACAGATATGCCCAGGGTACTATTAGTTACAATGACTAATGTAAATCTTCTATATTTAAATCGATACTACTATTACAACATAATTATACTTGCCGACGTATTGCGAATTATCGTACTGACTGGTGTTTATGTAAAATTTGAAATAAATATTTTAAAAAGACCGTATATACAACTTGTAATTGTTTTCTTTTGGTGAAAATATTCATGTGGTGTATTGAAGTTAAAAGATAATCATCTATTGACATCGTGTATCCAAATTAGGTAAACTATAAAACATTGTAGCACACACCTACCGTAGTTGACGCATTCAAATATTACCAGCGGTATTACAAGATATATTCTGATCGCATTAATTATGTCATTTTACAACTGATTTGCGTTACCTATATAATTAACAAGTCAACGCTTTAATTTTATTTTCGAACAAAAATATGTCTGAGGTCTGTACTGTCGGTAAATGAAAATTAAAAGTATATTAGTGTTCATCTTTACTGTTCTATAGAAATAAGAAACGTTGACGTGAACGAAGTTAGTCGGATTATAATAAACGAAAAGGCTATCCAGCAAGCTTATGGAAGGAGAATGGTTTGACCCAAAATAGTTCGCCCATGTTTAAAATAAAACGTAGACTTGTCCGTGATCTTCGTCACTCATCTGTACTTTAAAAACTAGAATAAACCATATTATTACATTTACTAAAATAACCTACTAAAAACTAAAGACAATCAATTTACTTCCTGTTTGACTTGACAGGTATCAAACAAGTATCAAGATATAAACTTTTGAACTTAAACAGTGTCGAATTAACCCGTTATAATAATTCATAATTACAGTTTCCTTATAAAAAGGTGCTGAATGAAGAAAATAAGAATCCCTAAAGAAAACCCAACACAGAAAAATTGAAAATGTTGCAGACTCGGTTTGATTGAGCCTGTTCATGGACGCTACTGTCAAGTGCAAACTACCGTCCACACCCCTAGCACCGGCCTAAGCAGAATTCAACATTTAACATGAACTGGTACAATTTTGAATTTTGAAACATCCGAAGTTGTGTTCATATGGCAGTTATCATGGAACTTTCAATGTGACACGCAAGTGCCATTCCATGAAAAGTTGCATATGGTCCCTGAGTAAAAGAATGTGTGTTCTCTAAACGAGAAAACAATGGCCTACATACTGCGTTTTACAACAATGTTTTGAAAAAACGAGTAATGAATAAGTCATGTGGTCCCTATCCGTAAATACACAACATATTTTCCGCCCCTGTATACGTGATTTCTACTCCGCAATGTAATAGTAACTATGATGTAATGTGTTTGTCAACCTACACGTGCCAATTATTAATTGTTAAACGACAGTTTAACACTTAAAATGTCCTTTGACAACTTAAAATAACAGACAGAACGACTGGTTTAACGACAACTTGTTATTTTCATTCTTTGTGCATATTGCAGGTATTTCGGATAGATATATAGTGTCTAGAATAGTAGAGTATATATCTATTTTTAATGTTACAGACATGTATGAGATAAACAACTTAGAATGTAGACAGTGCCTTTAAGAAGCTACACCGGTACAGTGTGATAAGGGAAATGGTGGCCTAGTGGATATGAATGTATCTGCCTCTCAACCAAGAGATTAAGGATTCGCATATGACACCAGTACTGGTTAGTTCCAGGAAGTTCATCAACACATAAATGCCCCGACGAAATATGAGTCATCGTTTTCAGTTTAGATGTATTAGCAATATGTGTTAACACTTGTCAGTAAGGGTAAATATCAATAGCTGGTTATAAAATTTCAGGTATAAAGTAATGCAATATATTTTCATAAATTATTTTATAATAGTCAGCATTAAACATAATATTATGCGATAGATATCATGTTTATTTCATATTTACAAAATGTAAATCAATTTTTAACCATACGAAGTATATGGAGAGCTCTCCTACTCACCCCGGCGTCGACGTCCGCGCCCGCGTCCAGATTTCAGATTAAAGTTTTGGTGCAGTAAAATATTTTTCATTATAATTTTTTCATTTCTTATGGTATCAACTTCAAACTTCAACTATATGTTCCTCATCATAAACCACATCTTATGTGACAAGGTTCATGACTCTAGCACCAATATTGCAATAATTATCTCCCCATTCACTTAGATAATTTTACTTGAAAAATGCTATTTTTTACCATGACTTCTTTAGTTTTAAAGGTATCTACCTTCAACTTCAAATATATTTTCCTTGTCATCAACAAGATCTTATAGGATACGGTTCATACCTTTCAAGATCTTTTGAACAATAGCTAGTCTCACCAGCTTTTTCTTTGATATTATTTTTCATTCTAAATAGGTTAAAAATTACATTCATGGTTTCAAACAATATATATTAACAGATACTGCATACTACAAATATATAGGAGAAGACCTTTATAAGCTTGATAGCTTTCGGCACTAATCCTTTTCATGCGTGTATCTATATTGTAAATGTATTATTAACATGCTGTATTCATTGTTCGAAATAAACTATGTTTAAACTAAAACTATTATGAGGCATCGTATTACCTGTCAAGGATTTGCGTTGTTTTCTTGTCGAAACTGAATATAAATCAGGTGATTGTCTCGTTGTTTCCTTACAATACATCACGCTTTTCACCAAACTAACTTTAAAAACTTCCCGGATGAAACACTTATTACATAAATTATCAAAGTCACAGTCACATCCGTGAAAAAGACCATCCAAGGTTGATTTCGAACATGACTTTTTAAAACAACTGGTCTTTCTTTGGAGGTTATACATTCGTCTATTAAATCAATGAACAGTTGTTGAAGGGTAATCTTTATTTACAGGGCGATTTTCATTCTGAGATTGTCTAGCTTTAACGCAGGTTTACATCCATCACATAGAGAAAAAGAACAAATTGGAGGCTAGCAGTTACAAGAGTAATGACTTCGAGCTCCAGCTTGTAACAGCATTGTTCTTATTGTTAAAATATCAGCCTCTCAACACAGGGATAGTGCAACCGAGCTACCTTGTTTCATTATGTGATAGTATGTGCCATATCTCGTGATAGTGAAAAAAATAAAAATATAAATAAATAAAAAAATATAACTAATACTAACAT